ATCTGCTAAGTAAAACTTTCTTTTATAGTTTTTAAAAATGAGGAAAAGTGTTTTCAAACTCTTCTGAGTTTCTTGGCGGCAAGTAGGGTAGGTAAATTTTCTAAACAGTTACAGACATTGTTTTATGCTCTGCCTATAAAAATCTTTACTCCAGTCTCCTAATATTACATATCTATTTGAGTTATGGTTAAAACACCATTTTTTTTCAGAATAATAACGTTTGCTTGCTTTTATCTCCAGAATGTATTATTTCATGTCTTATTTTCAGTAATTTGATTCAACAATAATTTGAGAGGTGTTCACAATTTGAATTTCCTCACTCCAGATTTTAAAATATCTTACTGTATCTTTAGTTTCATAATTTTAAGTATGGCTTTAATCAGTGAAGAAGATGCCTAATTGAAAAGGAAATAAGCATCTGAAAACCTTGATTATTTATAAAGACTCCAGCTCAGGTTAAATTATCTCATGAAGTTCATAGGAAAGATCAGAATGCCTTATGGAAATAGCTTACGGTGTGATCTCTGATCTGGGAAAAGATTGATCTTTATGCACTATCAGTATAAAATGTCAAGATTAAGCTCTCTTGTTTCTCCCTTAAGGAAGTTGGTCAGCAGGTTGCCATGGGGTTTCTTTAGGAATTTTACTGCTGATAACCTGCTAGGTAAGATGGAACTCTGAACTAAGAAATGAACACATCTCTAATATCAGTATGCAAATTCATTTCATTTGTGATCCAGCTATATGTAGAATAAGATCAGTGCAGTTTATCTACATATCATGGGTCAGCCTATATGCTTGACAGATATGTCTGTTTGTGAAATTGTTGGCTTCCCTGTTAATTTAACCTAGAAAATAAAAAATAGCTTTATAAATGAGCAGCCATTGGAAAAAAAATTATTATTTTTTTCATTTATATATTTGGTACAGGGTCTCACTAAGTAGCTCGGAATTGTAGTGATCGTACTGTTTTCAGCCTCCCCAGTGCTGGGATTACAGGCATGAACCACCTTGCCTGGACTTAGTTGGTCGTGGTCTCAGAGCACCCTGGGGCAGGGGCCTGCAAGGTATGAGGTAAAAATTTAAAAATTAAAGAAATGCAGAGATACTGTACTTTCCTACTCTTGACTTCTTTTGTATACTAATATATCTGGTATGATATATGTGGGTATGCGTATATGTACACACTTAAGTAGGTGTGTTATGTGGACACAAATTAATTTAGAGTACCAAAGGGAATTCTCTTAGCACAATAACACTCCTTGAAATAGAGAAAGAAGAAGTTTCCTATCTGATTTTTTAAAATAAGTGGCAATTATAACATTTTTATAGATAAATCTTTTTTTGGGAGACAGGGCCTCAGGCTACCCTCAGGGCGAGGCTGGTGCTGCATGCAGTTCCAGTTATCAAACCGCAGTCCCCTGAGCCTGCCTAAACTCATCTAAGCAGGTGATTTTAGATCGCTGAGCTATCTTGCCACCCTGATGAATCATTTTTTTCTTTAGAAATTAACATATTAAAAAAAAGAAAAGGGCTGGCCAAATATCTCAGTGAATTAAAGTGCCTGCAAGCATGCTCAGGGGCAGGAGTTCAATTCCTGGGCCTGTGGTGAAGGTCCCGACCCCAGGGGCCGCTGAAATGGAAATTGAGACTGGACGTGTTGGCGCTCGCCTGTAATCTCAGCTCTTGGGAGGCTGTAAACAGGTGGATGACTATGAGTTCGATCTAGTAGTGAGACTCTGAACACCCTGTAGGCCCTTCCCTAAAATGCCAAAAAAAAAAAAAAAAAGAAAAGAAAAAAAATTAACTTTACAAAGTCAGACAGGCAAATTTTACTTTAATGTACTTTTTTATCAAGCAAAATAACAAAGTAATTATTTAGCTCATCACATAGTTTCACCTTCTTTTCTTCATTCACACTTTCGTTTTCATATCAAACTTCCTGTGACCCCCTTCTTCAAGATTATCTGTTTGCCTACTTGGTTATCAAATCTAAGAATAACAACTTTGTTTCTTTTTTTTCTTTTCTTCTTTCTTTCTTTCTTCCTTCCTTCCTTCCTTCCTTCCTTTCTTTCTTTCTTTCTTTCTTTCTTTCTTTCTTTCTTTCTTTCTTTTCTTTTCTTTGCTTTTGTGGTACTGGGATTAGAACTCAGATGTTATGCTTGCCAGGCAAGTGCTTATTCTACAGACCTATCTCCCTGGCCCCAATTTTAAGTTTCAATCTATCACTTAACTTGTTTTGATCATATGAAAAATATGAAACTCATTTTCATGTATTTAAAAGTGGAAAGACAACAACACTCTTTAAGCCAAGCAATACTTTAAGAAAAAACATGTATAATCTAAATTAAGATAAGATGTATTAGTCAAAGTTTTTGAAATGCATATTCATAAGTCAAAATATTTTGTAATATATACGTTTTGTATAATGTAAAAAATCTATTCTACAATTGCCTTTCATTTAGTAGTTAACATAAAATTCTCAGCATCAAGAATGCTTCATCTATGAATTGACCTAATTTTCCTAAATTGTTTGTGTTACACTCCTCCCTTCGCTGCTGGAACTTTTCCTATGTAGTTTAAATTACTCTATTTAGGACAAACAGATTTTAGTCTTTGCTATTCTAAAAGTATAGAAATTCAATATTAATTAAATTCTCATTCTGTTCTGCAAGACAGAAGTTTTTTTTAAGAAATTACTACAATTAACCTATATATTTTCAAAATATAAAATTTACTGAAGTTTATGGGTGAGTTGAAACATGTTATTTTTTTCTCCTCCCTACTTGCACACATGCAGCTTTCAGGACAGGGCATTTTTGAAAGTCAGAGGGTGTACTATTAATGACATCCATATCATGGCCTCTGTTTGCTTCGGGATTTACTCTGCATTTCATTGTCACTATTTTTGACAAAGGATCCAAACAGGGTTTGTCCACAGGGCCATCCAAATGCCCTGCAATTTAGGCATGCTATATACTTAACTTACCACACATTCTAAAGCAAAGAAAAATAATTAAATCATTTTTTATTTTTAGAACTTATCTAAAAGGTTCCAATGAGCTTCTTTGTCATTTTTAGACAATCTTTCAAAGAAGGTCAAATGAAAGCACATTTCAACAAAGCTGAAATTATGCCATAAATTTGTTTTATTTGAATTTATTAATGAGCATTGAAGACAAGTCAGGTATTTCTTGGAAGTTCATTAATATGTCTGGAGGGAAAAATGAGGAAATTATTTCTTGAGTAAAATACTGCATTTTAATACAACATATATATCAGAATGTTGAGTAAAATACCCTATTCCTAATTCCTGATTTACATTTTTAAAGAGTCAGTTTAATTTTACTTATTTGTTTTATTTTCCAAATGAACTCTTTTTGTGAAAGCTCTGCTGTCCTATATGATAGCAACTACTAGTAGGTACTAATATTAAAATTAAATTTTCAGTTCCATAGTACTACTATTTATGCTTCAAGTACTCAATTGGCATATGTATTTAGTTGCTACTATTTTCAATATTACAAATTATAGAATGTCTAACTATGCAGAAATTTATATTGGATATTGCTGCTGTAGAAATAGTGTGTTCTCTGTTACACAATTTATAAAGTAAGAAGCTTCTCATTTCTATCAGTACTCAAGTGTTTTTTGAAACCATGGCTAAAAGCATTTCACACAGGTATCACTACCCTCTACTTAAAGAAAGTTCTTCCCAAATTTTCTATTGTACTACTTATTCCATCATTAATGTCTTGAAATGAAATTATGTGACAATAATCAAGTAGGAAGTAGCATGTTTTAAAAAAGGTAAGCAGATAATCATGCTTAATAGCTTTCAATACTTTAATATATTTTACACTTCATATGTAAAGCAAACACAACTGTAGTGACTTCATCTAAAATATTTAGTCACAAATCATTAAATTGTTTCTATTCTAACTTTATATACTCTAACATAACTATATTTCACTAAAGTGATTTGTAGGGTTCTATTTTTTAATATATTCATGGATAAGTATGTCTTTATAGCATATCAACATCAGTTGAGGTTTCCCATATTATACATCTTTCAGACTAAAATGTTCAGATATACTTAACTTCTTTTAATACCTTTAAATTTTATTCATACCATCAATCATTGTCTTGTAGTGGCTAGTCAGAAAATATTTAATAAATGTTTTGCATCTTATATAAAATCTCTTGCAAATATCATATAAAATCTGCTCACTCAATTTCATTGTACTATTTCACATACCCAAATCTATGTTTTCTATTAGTCTACATACCTTTATAAGAAATTAAAAAGAATTGCTTATTCACCTGGTAAAGATGGTCACGTTAGATATATCTGGACAATGATCAAACATTCCATCTATTTAACTCTTTGTCTTCCCAACCTTAAGCTTCAATGCAAGTGAAGGTGAAAGTTTCTTCTCCACTAAAAGGCCTAATTTTGGTTTACTTTTCATTGTTTCACACAAAATGAGTACTGTGTACTTTCAAAAATGAAACAAAACAAATTTTACTAATCTATGTATATTCAGAAATACTTGCATAGTGGTAAAAATGTGATATTCATCTCTCAGATAAATTTATTCAACATCATTTCAAGTGGCCAGATAAGGCTTTCTACATAAAATAATCACTAAGCAAAACTGACAGTTTTGTGGATTTATTCTTAATGCTTATATTTTCTTGTTTCAGAGAAGTTTGTAGCACTTTAAAGACTAAATAGATTGAAAATAAAATATTGGGCATACAATTGATTTGTAGGTAGCAAAGATAAGTTTGTCTAACCTTTATGGTTATGAAGAAACATGACAGTCCATAAATTCCATGTAATGACAAAAATGACATTGATGAAATTTTTCTTCTGTACATTGAAGAAACTGAAAATTTGTATTAATGATTTACTCCAACTTTGAAGCACACTGAGATTCTGGCCTGTTCTTTGTAAAATAAGATAATTTATTCAACAACATGCTTTAAATACATACCTTAATTAGTTGGTAGTTTTGAACTCCGTTTATTCCTATGTCAGGATCAATGGCCGCTGGGAGAGCATACCGAGAGTTTATAGCAGAGTTCTCTGGAATTGATATGTTGATAACTGTTGCCGGGAATAATGGTGCATTATCATTTATGTCTTCAATGAGAAAACGAATCTTTACCAGTCTAAATATTTCATCTGGCAAAACAGCAACCTCCACTTCGTAAAAGCAACGGGCATCAATCAAGATACCAGCACATAATTTCTCACGATCGATGCGAGCACCAGTAGTGAAGATCTCACCAGTACCCTCTTCAATCCGTATCAGTGGCACATCCCCAGTCTTGTACACTAGCTTGAACTGCATAGGAGATGTTAAGGACTTGTCAGGAATGAGCGACAAGTTGAGGTCTTTCAACAAGTCACCTATTAGGACGTTTTCTGGCATTTCTTCTCGGACTGTATAGTTCTTCTCCTGGGCGCCAGACTGAAATACGACGCATGCTAAGAGGACTGCAAATATATATGTCCCGGACAACAAGTCCATACCAGGCACGATTGTAATGATTCTTTGTATCAACAAACAGAAAACTGACAAGAGAAAAGAAAAAAGAGATAGAAGAAAAAGAGGTAATTATTAGGCATTCAAACATAAATGTGCCTATTATCTCAATGTTCAGTTTTAAATTTAAATCATTAATTTAAATGTTAGCACAATGAACACTAATAAATGAATAGTAAATTGCTTTTGAATCAGAGGTTATGTATTTTTGAATTCAGAATTGGAAAGATGACACGAACAGTAATTAAATGTAGAGTATGTACTAGTGCCCATTATTGATGCAGTTCATGACATACATGTTAATATACCAAAGTAGAGGCAATATAAATAGCTATAATATTTAAGTCAATAATTTTTTAAATGTATTTGGTTGTTGCAGGGTCTCACTACACAGCTCTGACTGATGGTGATTTTTCTGCTTTCAGTGTCCCCAGCGTTAGGATTACCGTCATGCACCACCACGACAGAACTCTGGCCGGCTCTGCCTACCCTGGAGGCAGGGCTGGTGCAGCATGTGGTACCTGGGATCAAAGCAATGTCTACACTTGCCCAAAAATGGCTAAGCAAGCAGTTTAGTCCCTTGAGTTATCTCACTGGCCATAAGACGATAATGAAGAAAAGTAAAGGGTATTTGCTACCACTCATTAAAAAATAGTATTCTTCGCTATGAGTTTCAAACCTAAGTTTTGGCAATGAATATTTTATGTAGTAGTCTGTCTTAAATTTTGGACATCAAAATACAAAATTTGACCTGAATAAAAGTAAGAATCATGACATAGGATGCACTGTGGAAGAATGGCTTTAAAGAAGAAATGTCCTCTCTGACAGAGGATGGTTGATGTGACAAATGCATAAACTTTGAAAAAGCTATATGTGTAAAATGGATTTGCGTTTTCCTAAATAAATTTGAATATTCTTCAATGTTTGTTTTTTTTATTTTTTAAAGAATACAAAATGGTAATAGAAAAGAACACAATTAGAAATGACACAAAATTTTACTAAACAAAGTAATGAGAATTCAACACTGGTTGCTGTATTATATGATGTTATCTTCAAAATTGTTTAGGTTACCAGTAATAAACATGCAAGATTTGTTTAAAGAAAACACGAAACAAAACAGTAACCAAAAAGTTATAAGAAAGTCAAAAGAAAAAATTAAGAATAGAAAGAAAAAAAAAATAAGCATTATCTTCTCCTTTCAAAAGACCAGCAGAAATTGAGGTTGAACTTCCAGATCAGCAGAAACAAAAGAGTATTAAAAGTTCTGGAAAAACAATTTGTCAGTGGATAGAGAATATCACGTCTTTTGAGGTAAAAATGTAATATAGAACTCAATCATTAATATATGTATATATATATATATATATATGGATCTTTTAGTGCAAGTGCCTTATTTTTATTTTAGTTTATTAATGTACATTTGCAGTGCATGAAGTTTATTAAGGATAGTTATATGTAAATAATGCACCATGATTCATTTTTATTCCCCTACTGCAATCTACCCAACTCCTTCTGTCAGATTTTAAATCCCAATTCTCCATTTTGATCAATGTTGTTGAGTTTAGTTTGTGTACATGATGTGTGATGTTTATATTCCTTGTGTGTATTTTGTACATATACATGGCACATCCTAAATCATTTTATTCGCACTTGTATCCTTGACCTGCTAGAACTCTTCCCATTTGCAAAAGATTCTCTATTTTCATTTATTTTGGTATTTATTTTTAATTGTCTTACTTAAATGGGAGGTACCATAAAACATTTAAATTTGTGAGCCTGAATTATTTCACTCAACATTATATTTTCTAAGTACACAAATATCTCTCTATTTCTATCTATCCTTTACATTGGTATTCATTTGTAATAGTCTTATTTAAATGAGAGATATCATAAAGCAATCAAATTTGTGAGCCTGAATTATTTCACTTAACATATTTTCTAAGTGTATCCATTTCACTATAGTCTCCAATTTATTCTTTAGAGGTCAGTAATTTTCTACTATGTATAAAGACCACATTTTCTGTATCCACTTCTCTGTTGATGGTCACAAAGCATGCTTCCAGGATTTAATTATTAGTAGAGCTGCAACAAACAAATATATATATATATATATATATATATATATATATCACTATAATGCAATAACAGGAAGGTAACTAGACTACGAAGAGCTGAGTCAAATATAATTTCTAAATTTAATTCATAGAGGAAACTCAATATTGATTTCCATAAGGATTGTACTGTTTTATACTTACATCAACAATGTCTCATTGTTCTACTCAATCCAGCCATAATATTGCCTACAATGTGATTTCTTAATACCTTCCATTCCTTCCAGTATGAGATGAAATTTAAATTATTTTAATTTGCATTTATTGAAAGTCCAAAAATGATAAACATTTTAACCTATTTATACTTCTTGTTAAAAGTGTCTATCCATTTCATTTGTCCATTTGATGACTATTTTGAAAATTTTAGGTGGTAAAATTTCTCTAAAATCTTTATACATGCTAATGTTAATACTCTAATGAAGGGCTGGGAGATGGCTCAGTGGAATAAGCGCTTCCCTGGCAAGTGCAAGGGTCTGAGTTCAATCCCTGGTTCCACCAAAGGAAAAAAAATAGTGAACAATACTCTAATGAAGAAAAGGTAAAATGTTTTCTCATTCATTAGGTTGTATCTTTGCTCTATAGTTTCCTTTATATTGCACAAGCTTTCTGATTTGTTATAGTGAATTTTGTTGACTTTTTATTATATTGCTTTATGTGATTGGAGGTTTGCTCCTGAGTTTTTGCATACATCTATGCTGTCAGGTGTAAGTCATACTATACCCCCCCAGTAGGTTCATTAGTCCTTTTTTAATGTTTAGATTACTCATAATTTTGATTTTGTTTAGTATGTGGTTAGACACAGATTCAGCTTAAGTGTACATTATGAAGCCATCAGGTTTTTTTTTGCCAGCACCACTTGATAAATATGCCTTTGCCCTGATCCAATGTATGTTGCTAGATCTTTCTCACACATAAACTTGTTGAGCATGTTGGGTAAAACTGGCTTTCCACATGGTGAGGTATAAAATGAGACCCATATGTTTCACCATGTAATAATCTAAAATCAAAGTTTGTCAACGATCTTCATCTTAAAATAAAAACAATAAGTATTCTAGAATGTAGAAGAGGTAGAAGTCCTGAAGAAAGGTATAGGTAAAGACCTTAGGGAGGAAAACATATTCACACAGGAAATATCACAAAGAATCAACAAGTGTGATCTCATCTAATTAAAAATCATTTGTGCAGCAAAATAAATCTCCAACAGACTGAAGAGACAATGCACAGATTGGGAAAAAAATTTGTCCAGGTTTACACAGATGAAAGAACAATATCTATTATATGTAATGTACTAAAAAATATCAGGAACACCAGCAGGTACATAAGTCTAATTTTGTCATCAATGTACATATACAGGGACTGGTGTATGGGATCAATAACCAGAATCTCTAGCAGACAGGCCCTGTGTGGGACACTGTGGAGGAAATCAGTGCAGAGAGGTTAGGAGTGACTCAGTCAGCTAAACCAGGAGCAGAAAATCTAGCCAGTGGAATACAACAGGTTTACTTCTACATGCCCCAGCAGAATGAAAGTGAGCAGAGAAGGCAGATCCAAGACCAGCTGGACAAGTATGCAATTGGCAGATTTAGCCCTAGTAAGCTGCTAGACCCAGATCTATGAGAGTATTATTTTCCAAGAGAGAGAGGTGGCAAAAGGGTAATGTGGGTGAACTACTGAATGGGGGGTGACTTCTGCCTGGAAGTCTCCAGGTACATCAAGGAAAGGTGACCAGACAGAACTTAGGGAAACTAATTTATATAAAAATTCACAACATACTAACTGCTTAACTATACAGACATAATTTTTGCTCTTATGCTTTAAAATACAAACCCATTAGTTACAAAAGTTTGTCAATTGTTAAATCTCTCTACTCATTATGAGTGTTGCAAATTGTCCTACTGTAAGTAAAAAACTATATCTCCCTTCATCATATGATCTTGATTGGATAATAATCTCAGAAAGTGTTGGGTACTAATTGCACCAAAACTCTACAGCAAAGTTCAGAGGTCAGTGCCAAACAGAAACCAGTACCTCATTCACAATCAAAAGAGAGGGCAAATCCTTGAGACACACATAAAACAAGAATCTTTGACACAGAAGAGATACCTAAAGAACAGACTCTATATAGAGAGGCTCTATTCATAGTAATATAGACAGCTGCTATCAAACTGTCACAAAAAATATCACAGAAATCAGAATGAAGACTTTTCTCTGAAATATAAAATGACAAAGAGAAGGAGCAAAATGTAGTCACGGGTCCCAAGCCTGATCAGAAAAAACACAGGAGATACTAGCATAGAAGAAATTGGAAGTAACAAACCTGAAATCTTTGAAATGATAGTCTCCAAAGTAAAGAAACAACTGCAGGGAAAGCATCCTACTACCTGGGCCAGTGGGACCTGTAGGTCCAAGCCCATGCATAGCAGGAGTGAGACAATCTTCCACACCTTTGGGAACCACCCAAAAACTCCACAGCACACCTCCACCCTGACTGCCAAGTAAGAATTTCTGCCGCGTTCTTGGGACCCCCAGATCCAGTCCTAGGCCAGGCCCAGTGAGTGTGTTGGAGATCTTCCTGCTACCCTGTGCCAGGGGGACCTGCAGGTCGAAGCCCAGGTGCAGCGTGCTTGAGACCACTTTCCACCACACTGGGCCCCCCACCCCACTCTGCAGTATCCTCATACCCCGCCCGCCCAGGGTGAATTTCTTCTGCATTGTGGGGACGCCCAGATCCAGGGCTAGGCAAGGCCCAGTGAGTGTGTGGGAGAGCTTCCTCTTCCCCCTATTCCAAATTGTCCCTCCAGACTTAGATCAGGTCTGGACTACAGGCCTGGAGTGAAACCCTGCAGCTGCAATCCCTGCAGAGAGTATAGGGGACAGAACAAGCTAGCTAGTCCAGGAGAAG